AACAGCTGGAGGAAGAGAAGCAGCAAGAAAAAGAAGTGGACAAGCTCCTCGACGAAGAGATGGCGAGGATTTGGGCCAAGAAGGCTGAGCAAACACAATTAGAAAAGGAGGCTAGAAAGCAGCTTCTGAAAGATGTCCTGAATACGAGACAACTGCAAATCGAGGAGAAGTGTAAGTAATAACAGCTCGCTGTCTGTGCACCAAACCTACTGCATGAGTGCAAGTCTTGGCAGAGGCAGAGGGAGCACAACATGCTGCTTTTGGGAAGACCATCTGGCCCAGCCTGCACAGGCTTATATGGTTGAGTGGACAACAATGCTGCTGTCTCTGAGTCTGCTTCTGAAACTTTACTCCTACAGGCATTCCTTACACTAATTTCCCATTGCTATCACCAGAGAAAAGCCCAGTAAAGTAAGGATTGCATGAGCAAGCAGTCATTATTATTGATTACACTATTAAGTACTGAATGTGAAATCTTTTCTATGCTAAGTGGATGAAAAACAAGCTGAGAATACACTTGGCATTGTTCGTGTGCCTCTTCAGAAGCAACAAAACTCAGGCTTGCTATTTAGGCTACTTGGCTTGAATACAGTACCACTGTCCCTGCAAGCTTAGTGGTGCTGTTACCTTCTACAGGTTTGTTTTGTTTTGTTTTGTTTTGATGCAGTGCAGAGAAATGCAAAAGAGCAGGAAGAACTCGCTCAAGAGAGGAAGTTGTTAGCTGAAGCAGATGCAGAATTCAAGCATATAGAAGAAGAAAAGCACGCGAGGTATTTTTCTTTTATGCTGCCAGTACATTTCTTTGCAGATCCATGTTTTAAACTTGCGAGTAGGCTAATCCTCATTTTTGGATAACTCTAGGAGCACTGGGTGGTTCAGAGAGGCTCTGCTCAATAGCAGCCTTGTTACATTGCCATTGGTATTAAATCACTAATTCTGACCTCGTCATACAAATAATGCTGTTTCATTACATATGCTTGTTTTGATCTTTTTGGACCATCATGTGACTGACATGGATGATGTTTATTAAATACATTATGTCATACTCTGAGCTGTTATTACGAGTGCAGAGGTTTGGGGAGGAGGGTTAATGAGAGGTTAGTTCGTTAAGTAATGAACCTTGGAGAACTAGTCGGTGTGTTCAGGCTTATTGCTAAACTCCACCCACATGCGTCCCGTAAACAACCATACACTCAGTCACGAAAATCCCGGTCTGCTGCCGTCACCCAGCTGTTCCCCTTCCCCTACAGTCCCTCGGGGTGAGAATATAGCTGTTCGCAGTAGCTGGAATGTTCCTCTGGGTGTCATGCAAAGCCCACAGCAAAGGGCCTTGCTTCACTTACCCAGTTTCCCTTTGGTACTCCTGCTCTTTCTCCATACCTGTCCGTGGGAGGTATCTGAGTAGCACCTTCCAGAGCCAGTATCTGTTGTCTTCTCTGATGGCTTTATTGATAACAGTGATCTGAGGGCTGGAGCACCTCTGCTATGAAGACAGACTGAGAGAGTTGGGGTTGTTCAGCCTGGAGAAGAGAAGGCTCCAGGGAGACCTTCCAGCATCCTTCCAGTACCTAAAGAGGCTACAAGAAAGCTGGAGAGGGGCTTTGGACAAGGGTGTGTAGTGATAGGACACGGGGCAATGGCTTTAAACTGAAAGAGGGGAGATTTAGATTAGATATAAGGGAGAAATTTTTTACATTGAGGGTGGTCAGGCACTGGCACAGGTTGCCCAGAGAAGCTGTGGCTGCCCCATCCCTGGCAGTGTTCAAGGCCAGGTTGGATGAGGCTTTGGGCAACCTGTAGTGGAGGGTGTCCCTGCCCATGGCAGGGGGGTTGGAACTAGATGATCTTCGAGGTCCCTTCTAACCCAAACCATTCTATGATTCTACATGGCAGAACTCTCACCCTTCTGAAAGAAACATGCTGGGCTTCGTTTTGGATATGCTTCACGCAGTGACACCATTGAATGCTGTCTCTGCCAAGTGCTGCATGGTTCGATGTGCTGTGGTAGCGCTTAAGTCTTGACCAGACCGTTGGCATCCTAAATGTCCACGTGAGTCTGTGTGACTCCTGCGCCAGAAGTGCCTGAGCACGTCGGTAGACTCCACCGCTGCTCCAGAGGGTAGTGAAAGTAATATATGAATCTCCAAGTAGAAGAATGATTTCTTCTGACAACTGTTCTGTAGAATATCAGCACGCCGCCGCAGCAGGAGCCGGCACACTGCCTTCCCCATCAGTGGCAGCTTCTTATCTTCAGAACAAGGGAGTGGAGATGGGGTGTAAGGCTGCTGCAGCAGTGAGCCTGAACCAGGAAGGGACTGTGACCTGACACTCTCCGTCTGTGTCCTCTGAGCACCACCATGAGGGGCAGGGAAGGCGTGCTGATTGCAAGGAATTCTTGCCTTTTTTTTTTTCGTTAAGCACTGATTTTTGCAATCTGCTTTATAAGATACAACAGAATGCAATACATTCTCCATAGAACATAGGGTGAGCATGCAGCCTTTGGTTAATAGAGTTGTAGTTACCTAAAAGGAATTTTGAATGGTTCTTTGGTCTAAAGTTGAATGCTAACAGATTAAATAATAATAGAAGTTGCTTATTTTTTTACCTACACGTCATAAATAATTCATATGTCATTTCCAGAAAAGTAAAGGAAGCAAAAGAATACCAAGAGCAACTCAGGGCTCAAATTGCCCATCAACGACAGGCCCGTGATGCTGAGGAAGAAGAGAAGCAGAGAGAATACGAATCAGACGTCGCAGCAGAGAGAGCTTACCAAGAAAGGGTGCAGGACATTCTAGCAAGGCCTTGTGAGAAACTAGCAAAGACCCACCCTTTCAGAAGAAAACTGATGTCATAATTTATGCCGATTTTTTAGCTCACTTGGTTGCCTTAAAAAACATTTTTGAGGGTGTTTATAACTGACTTAACCCCTCTCTGCTGAAACGTGGTATTTTTAAAGGTTGTTTTCCCTCTATTGGATTTTCTTTGACAAAATGACACTCAAACCTAAGCGTTTAATACAAGAATACGGTTTGTTCTCTGCAGTATAGTAATGTATTGTTGTGACATGAAGGACATGCAGGGATTCTTTAAAATCAGCTCAAAGAAAACTTTGTTGAAGAGTTTCAGCAAACATTTATTAAAATGCCTTTCAAGCTGCAAGTATTTGCAAAACTGTTTTTGTATTTAGACAAAAAGTACTTGGTGACTCATCTTCATTTTCCTTGTTAAATATAAAACTATCAATCTATTTTTCTGTGGGCTAGACTGTAAAGAGCTGATATTGCTTTGCATATATTCTGGTAGCTATTGAATGATGTGTGGAATATCAGAGTCCCAGAGTTAGTCTGTGAGACCTCTGCTTGGACAGATTTAATTGTGCAGGACTGAAGTCATCCTTTTCTTGCAAAAAAAGGTTATTATTTATCATTTTGATGTCAACTCTGTCTGTTTGGACTGCCTTGGGATTGCCACCAATGCCGCAGTCTGAACACACAGAATGGGGGTTGTGGAGCACCGACAATATTTTAAGACAAAGCAACACAAAAAACAGTTAGATGTTTCAGCAGGAAGGTCTCAAAAGGGTTTTGATAGTGGGGAGAGAGAAGTTGCCAGAGAAGTTGTTGATGCCCCATCCCTGGAAGTGTTCAAGGCCAGGTTAGATGAGGCTTTGAGCAACCTGGTGTAGTGGAGGGTGTCCGTGCCCATGGCAAGGGGGTTGGAACTGGATGATCTTTGAGGTCCCTTCCAACTCTAACCATTCTGTGATTCTATGAGAGGAGACACCTCCTCACCGCTCTCTCAGCCCCCCTGTTAATGGCCAGGTTGCCCTTTGTGCAGGAGGAGCAGTGGGTGACACAAAGAGGACAGGTGGGAGCAATCCAGCTTCTCCCCATGGCATTGCCCTCCACGAGCTCCTGGCTATGAAATTCATTAGTTTTTCCTCTGTGCTTTTCAGAGAAGGGAAGAATCCATTTATAACCTCATATCCTTTCTTGCTCATAGATGTTGCAGCATTCGGAAATGCTTTATCTTCTTTCTCACATTTTTCCATTGGAGCCTTTGCTGCTGCTTATCTGCAGATGTTTCTCTCTCCAGCTTTTCAGCTTTCACCATCTTTCCTCTAGCCCATGTTTTCCATCCTTTTCTTCTCCAAGTTCCATCTCTCATTAAGCGTTTCCTCTACCTTCTTCCTCTTCACTACCTTCCCTTTTCAGTGTTTGGCTCCCTGTTGGAAAATACCAGGACTCCTGTGTTTTTGTTGTGTGAGAATGTGAACAGATACACAGAGAAGGTGATAAATAGCTGGGATTGGAGCCCAGGAGTCCCAGCTCCCAGGCCTCTTGAAACGAATTGGGAATAAACTGCCTGCACATCACCTCACCTTCTTGGTTTAAAGCAGACACCAAGATGACAAACGCTTTTTGTCTGTGCAGAAAGGCCTACAGCTGTTTGCAAAAGGCCAGGTAGAGACATGTTAATCTGAAATGGTGTCAGCGATCTTAGCAGAGCAACCCCGCTGATTATGGGTGTAAATGGTGGAAGAACTCGGCCCTAAGACATAGCCCTGCTGAGGGGCACAGCACCATGTGTGGTTGGGGTTTTATTCTTGCTTACAGATAAAACTCTTAAGAGCAGCTTCCTGAGACAGCAGATGGAGGAGGGACAAGTTCACACCATCCAGACAGGTGACTAGACAGAGCAGAGCGGAGCCTCTTTATGTCTTTTTCCTTGAATCACCTGTATCCAAGCAGGGTCTGTCTCCTACAGGTGTTGAGAAAGTTCATAAATGTGAAAACATCGCAAACCGGGAGAGGTGGGTGGTGAATTTTCAGCAGCCATCTCCAACCCCATAGAGAGGACTTCAAAGCTGCTCCTCCTGTTCTGTTAGGTGGGAAAGGCCATCGATAATCGAAATAGTTTCATTAGTCCAGAGAGCTCAGGTAGGTCTCTGCTCTCACCCCTGGGTCAAATTGGCAGAATGATTAAGAGATTAATTTCCTGGTCTGCCACAGGCTCCTGGTGTGGCCCTGCACAAGCAATATAGATTTTTTCTGTACTACTGTGACTGCGCTTTGAAAAATGAACATAACAGCACATTCAGAATTCCAGGATTAATTAAAGCGTGTTATTAAGGACTGTGACATTGTCGTCGGGCACGCCCAATATGAGGCAAAAAAATACCACGCTGGTGAGCTTGGTGAATGTGAGCCATCCAGAACCATAATAGATCTTTTAAAAATAAAATAATAACTCAGAAGAGGTGGTCAGAGCTATCGAGCATTTATGAAGTGTCAAAGCTCCTGCTCCTGGAGGAGCAAAATCTCTCTGCAGTGAACGTGAAGTCTGCACTGAAACAAAAGATCAGACTGGAAGAGGTTTGCCTTCAGCAGAAATGAATTCCCATGGGATAACGGGCAATCGAACGCTTCCCGAGAGAAAACTGGCCATGGATGCTCATGTTGCTGAGTGCTGTGGAGACTTCAGGTGGATCTAGAATGACAGGTAAGGCTCATACCAGGCTGCTGAGCAGCTGGGTGGGTCAGCAGTCTCCCTTAGAAGCACCTTCTTCATGCCCCTAAGTAAGAACGATTTTCCGTGTCACGACTGGAGATTTTCCTTAATTGTGGCATTTCCCCTCAGTGTTTGAGGGATCCTGGAGCCAAACTGTCTGTTAAACCAACAGTGCGGGGGCACTGGTCTGGAAACAGCCTGGTGGCCTCTTCCTGCACCAAGGGTGTGAGCAACCTGGAGATGGTACCACTGGCATTTAAAAACCAGGTGGGTACAGCCTCTTCATCTATACAGGTACTAGAGCTTTGCATAATACACTTTCCTGTATTTTTTTACTACATTTTTCGTGCCGACGGAGGAAGAGTGGAGGTGTAGAGCGTGCTGGTGACTTGCCTGTGACAGAGCCAAGACTGGCTGTCCCCCATCACGTCTTCCCAGACCCACTCCAAGGTTTGAACACCTTGCAAGTGTTCAAACAAGTGCTGCCAAGGCTTTACGACTTTTCTGCACCCACCTGTCTGCTCACAAGGGCTTTTATGCTGACCCCAGGACTTTCCACGGTGATGCTTTTGGCCACGTATGAGGCATTGAGCGAGGGAGCTGTTCCTGGTGCCCTGTGGCACCTGGCTTGGTCCCTACTCCCTGAGGCTGGGCTGCAGGCTCCCGGGGCTGTGGGAGCACCTTGGGGGATGGAGGGTCACTGCAAATCTACATCCACATCCAGCCTTGGACAGAATCAGTCTTTTTTGCAGGAAAATCCTTCTTTGTTAATTATTCATTGCTTAAACACCTTGATTAATTGTTCATTAACACAGGTAGGAACACTTGCTGCAGAAATGGCCAGTACAGCCATGCCCAGGGTACGGTGACGCTGCAGCCTGAGACAGATCCAAGGATCGTGCCCAACCGTAGCACGTGACGACTTCTGCCTGGCCCAGGAGGAACGAAGTCCAGCTTTGAGGTCTTTGGGACAATTCTGCATGCAAAAACTCAAGCTTTGGTGTTGTATTTAGCAACAGTCAGCTCTGCCCTGATGCCATTTGGAGTTGTCAGAATCGATGCTCCATGTTTTTGCATTACCTGCCACCGTGCCCCACGCAGGCTCCGTCACAGGGAAAAGACACCCCGCGAGAGCACAAACCTTTCCCTGATAACCTCGATACACAGACAGGGAGTCTAAACTACTTGGAATTGTGCAGATATTGCCCTTTATTTCGAGGCATAAGGTTGACTGGGAGCCCATTTTAACCCCAGGCACCTGTGCTCTCAGAGGCAGATCCCGCTACGAAGTATTTCCGCAGAAGATTTCAGGATATGGTTATTGGTGTTGATGTACTCCTCTTGCATCGAAATTCAACGCTGTAACTGTAGTTTGAGGGTCAGGGGATTTCACTGAAGAAACACTGGTTTCCTCTGCCTGTCTGATTTCTATGGCCAACTTGCCTTCGCTCCTCTACCTCGATAAAACCCCAGAGCTGCCGTGGAAGGATGGGGTGCCTGTTGAAGAGCAGGTAGCTCCACTCCTAACCTCCAGCACCGGCCCCAGCATCCTGCCCGCCTCGCTGAGCCCTCCAGAGCCCCTCGCTGCTCTGTGCCATCATCCCTCTGGTCCCTGGGCTCTCCAGGTATTGTCGCAACACAGGGACAAGGCTGGGACCTGCGAGCATCTGGTGGAGCACACATATCCCTGGCGCCCATCCTGTACTTGCAAGGAAGCCTCTGGCTCTGCTTGGAGAGGAAAAAACCTGGTACTTGGTTAATTTTCACCTCTGGGTGCTTTCGTTGCGAATCAGTACCATAAAATGCTATTTAAGAGCCAGTATTCATTAAATATTGTGATCAACGCAAGTTTTAATTCCTGAGTGGAAAGAAGCTTTTGTCTCCTGAAGCAGATCATTTCCAGCAACTCAGCACTTAGGACACACTTCAGGGATTTCGTATGTATTTTGGAGGTTTTATTTTCTAACTTTAAAGTTTTAGATTACGATGAATTCGATGGAAAATCACACATGGCACCAGCTGGTATTTCATGGGAACGGCTGTGCTTTGCCTCTGGGCTATCACTGCTGCACAGGCTCCACTGAAACTTTTGCTCCCCATTGGGCCCGTACGTCAGATTTTGTTTCCAACTGTTGATTTATTAATAAAAGGAGATGAGCAAGTTTTGTTTGCCCAACAAAGCTATCATGGAGGCTTTGCAGAAGTTACGCTGTCAAATATGTCACCCAGGGTAATTTCTAGACCGGGTGCAGGTTTTTCTTCCCTTCTTTGCTCCTTCTCAAACTTCCCCTGCAGACACCTGCAATTTCTTTGGATTCGGAGCTGGAAAAGAGAGCTATCTGC